CTTCTTCATAGAAGGTTTTCTGGAACATTATTTCATCACCCTCAGTTTACTTAATTTTTAATTCAACAACTATGCACTGGTTTATATACTTGAATATGAGTCATTATAATTGTTAGTAGTAATGATATTGTACGGTCTCCTTAAATGAGATAATTAGTAGGAGTTCGAACTTACGACTTAATGGATTTAACCACCGATCAGTCTGTCATAAAATGTGAATTTTCTTCTCATCATATTTGTTTTAGGTTAATGATTCATTCAAGCATTATTTTCGTATAAAGTGTTGAAAAGACAAGACATATTCTAGAGTGACTAGTACTTGTAAAATTGGAAATGATTGTGGTTTGAAGTATGGATCAATCAATTACAATTTAGTGATGTTAGCAATTTAGTTCTCGTCACTTAACTTGACTACCTTGGGTTCGATCTCAGATGAGGTCTTGGATAGACTATATGAAGTTACTTTGTAAAGAGTATTACCTACACAGAAAAACGTGGAACGTAATATATATATTTATATATGCATATCACGCCTTTTCTTACGCTCAGATTCATTCTAATGAATATTCTAAATAAATACTCATTTCATTGTAAGCTATTACTTTTCTTTAAGAAATGATACTGCTACTTAAGTAAACAAACTATAAAATGTAGTTGACTAAAATTTAATGCAATATCATTAAATGTTTTAAAAACAGATGAACTAAACTGCTTAAGTAACATTTACTCTATATTAATGTAACTAATGCAATTGAAGTGAGAAATCTGAGTAAGATGTCAACTTTTCAATTTATTAATGAATGAATAACGTCTCTATAGAGAAGACATATATATATATATATATATATATATATATATTGAAGTTACTTGATTGAACAATGTGGATAATTCTAGTTCATCCGCCTAAAGCCCCTCTGGGGCTACTGCCAGTCCCAAGTCCGGATAAAGAAGGAGGGTTGGACATGGAGTTATTGACCCCATCCCGTAGAAAACTAACTCGCTAAAAAATTGCTAACCAGAAGAAATAATTCAAAACGCTAATCAAACTGAACATAAAATCGATAAAATTATAATACAGAGGCGAGACAATTAGAAAAGCGAGAACGACCTTGAACTGTAGAACAAAATTCGAAATGAGTAACTTTTATAATATAGAAGAAATATTATATAAAGGCATAATATGATCACATTTACAACATGCTCTATTCAATCTATACAAACTTAAGCATGATGTGATCGGTTGGTAACTGTTTAGTGTAATTCATATCAATATTTACATGAATGAATTATCCAAGATTGGCTGATAAACATACTACAGTAGTGATCATCGTGATATGATTTATCATTCCATTAATTGAATTTGTGGAAAGTGTCATCATATGCAATAATAAGTTATTATCTAAATGATACAATTATTTTTAAAAGCAATGGACTATATTTCAGGCTGTCTTTGTCAAATGATAACGAGTTCGTTTAGCACGTCAACGGGAAAAACAAGACGGAAGAGATTTTTTAAAAAACAACTAGACGAATCTTTCAGTGAATAAGAATTACGTAATTAATGAAGATACTAGCAGACTAAGCCAACAGGGTCGACAATTTCGCAATTATATGACTAACCCAAAGTACCTAAACCTGAATTATCTCTCCATACGATCTTTGAAATTTCTTGACCCCGTTTAATATACAGCGAACTGGCTAGCAGGTCTCCTATAGAATCTATAAGAAGGCATATTAACATTTATTCCCTAAGTTACACTTCTGAATTCCATGATCTCATAAAGAAGGTAAATGTAGACGAAAAAATCGTGATTTTGCTTGACGTTGAATCATTTTTCACGCATGTCTCACTTACAGAGATCATTTGCTTCATATGTAAATACATTAGCCATAAGACGATGACTATCGGAAATAACATAACCTTCTTAAGATAAAATATTATTACAAGAAACGTTTAGTGCATGATTTCGATTTGACGAAATCTACAGATAAAAAGATGCTGCAACTAATGGTATCTCATCTTGGTGGATCGCCAGCTAACTATTTCACTGCCAATTTGAAAAACAATCAACTGAAGATAACTTCCATTTGCATAACAGGTACGTGGATAATGCTTTTATCAGTTAAGGAGATAAATGTGATTTGAAAAAATATTCTACAGGCATTCAACAACTGTCACTCCGCAATAAAAATTCCACCTGAAGTTGAAAACAGATTAAACATCATCTTTCTCTATTTTAAAATGACAAAAGCTGATGAAACTTCGAGATCTGTTTACAGAAGAACTAAATAGAGTGGCCAGCTACCTTGCTTCCGCAGCTGGAAAATTATTGATAAGAAGAAAAGCTGAGCTGTATAGCTCAGTCGCCGTCCCAATGTCATATACGTAGAGTTAGACTTCTTAAGGGAAATGCTTTTTGAAAACGAGCTACCACCAAGATTTATTGACAAATATACAAAACTCAAACTTTCGAAAGTGTCAAAAAACTGATTACGTAAAATTCTCCAAATAAACATCAATTTCAAAGGTACAAAGACTTCAGATATCTTGAAGAGAAGGGCTATCCAAAAACATGTTATTACTTTTTATATTTAGTATTAATAAATCACCTTAACCGATGAATACCATTTTGCGTACGTTTTTATTACAGAGAACCGTTCTTAATATATTTCAATTCATTAATTAATTTTGGCTGCATCCGTGGATCGGTCATTTCGAAAGACGTCAATAACAATTTACATTAATATCCTAGAGCTATGAAATGTCTTTTAAAATTCACATAGAATAAAATACTCTTTCATTCGCTAACCTTGAAATCTAATAAACGATTGTTTTACCTTTAATTACATATTTTTTGATCATTGTAACTCAGGGATCAGTATGACCTAAACATCACGACTAAACAAATAAGGGTGTCAAAATGAATAATAATAATCACGCTTATCAAAAATTAGTATTACTGTAATACAATTACACTTATTAAGTAACACTACAGCTTTTTTTTCACTAATAAATGACCACATATATTAATATCAGTAACATTATCCTCATGAGGGCGAAACAACAGTTTACACCGTTGGTAACACAGTTAATTTAAGGTCATTGGAGTTCATAATACCATATGGATTATTATAATATTAGCACAAATATTGAAGGGGCTACACCAACTTAAAAATAGTTCTTTTTAAAAGCAAAAGAAGTACAAAATAATAAGTTCCAACTGAACTCACTTGATTATCAAAGTATTGACAGTCATCTGAGATATAATGTTAAGGTTCATATTTTCTTTGGAAATCTTCATAATGTTTTTCTTATAAATTTATGCAAAATACATTAAAAGATACGGATAAACAACCATATATTCCCATGGATATGTTAAGTTATCTAAATGTAGAAAGCATACTTTGCTGACCATCTTCAGAGACCTCTAAAATAGTAATTCCAAGGTATAGTCAATCACAATATGTTATATTAATACTTTATTACGAAAAACCTAAAAACGTAAGGATTGGGAGTTAGGTTAAGATTCATGGTTACGGTTGCAAACCCCATATATTATGTTTAGTTTTTAATCACATTCTTAACGCAATTTTTGGAAATGCTATACTTCTTCATGTTTTAGTCTTAGAATATCAACAGTCTTAGTAAGTAAGTAATGATAGGTTATACTTATTTTTTTACTCAGCCATTAATAAGATACAAGCTATGAGTCGCTGATTTTGGAAATTAGTGCAAAACTCCAAAGCTGTCATTATTACACTGATTAGTCCATCAATAAACCTTCTTTTTACCAAATAAGGCTGAAATTCTCTGATAGAAAATATCGGGTGCAACTAGGTGAGGAATGTCAAAGTTGGCTGGGGATAAACTTCACGTTATCGAGTCATCTAAGTGTATCGTATTCAGGAACTGAGGTTAAGTTTTCGTTCATTTAGTTATTCAGATGTTGATATTTTTGAATCCTTTCTATTACGGAATTAACTGAAGTATGAAACTTGCTAAGCTGTAATTTCCCTCCATTATGACTGAGTGAGTTGCACTCGGCACTTCCATAGCATGATGGAGTGATATTTTCATCGTAGAAAACTTTATATTTTCCCATATATGCCAGCGAAATAGACAGATAAGGAAGCACGCCCTCCATAATGGATTACGATAGTGTAAATACTGATTCCAACTTTACTTGGGTTGATTGCCGGATGCAACGTCAAAAGTTCGAACGAGTGGACAGATGTGTTAAAAAAAATAAACGACAGTTATTCATACGACTATAGCAGCTCACGTGCAATTCAGTTTGTTTACATTTAATTTGGTTAATCCCTTTTGTTAACTTATTTAACGGACAGAGAAATCCATCCAATAACAACTTATCTGTACCATTTTAGCTTTATTAATGTTGCATTTGTATGAATAAGTATGCTTGAGCATTGTTCACTGCCTATGCATATATTCATTCTGCTAGTTTTGATATTAGTCAATTAATTCAATGATTCATTCATTTCCCTATGTATATATATGTACATTTTAATTCTGTTCATTGACTCGCTCATTCGACTCTCACGCTTCTCCGTTTGCTTTTCGGCACAACTCTTTCATGTTTTCTTGCTAACGCCTGTTACTCCCACTGAAGCATAGGCCGCCTTCATGCTTTTTTATCGTACCTATAATTTTGGTTATCTGTGCATGGTGCAATAATAAACTTAATCAACATTCCGTATTCACCTTGTGAATTAATACACCTTTAGGGCGTTATCTATTAAGTTATCAGAACGAACTATATACGAAGTTTAAGGATTATAGTAAATACCGAACACAACAGCAATCATGAGCCCGACTTGATTCAAACACGCAACATTCTGATGAATACATCGTCGGGGCGTTATCTGGTAACAGTTATCAAGACGGACTATATACAAAGTTTAAGGATTATATTGTCAATACCGACCACCACAACCACCAGCACACAACCATTAAAAACACAAAAAACACAAGATAAACTACAATTTAAATTTTTATTTATTTAAAATTTATATCAAAAGTTGGGTGTCATTTTCTCTTGTGCATGTATAGATAATAAGTAATTTTCATTAGAAAGTGAAAAAAAGAAACAAACACAATCATAATCAAAAGTATAAAGAAGGGAAAATTGAATAAATTATATATTCATTATTATAATATACAATCAAAGTATGAATACTATGCAGCATTAAAATACATACAATTACTTGTCATACATGGTATCCGAATAAGAATAATCATTCATAGAAAGATAAGTATGTTTCCACAAAATGATAATTAAGTAGACATAAGTGTGTATATGAATAATATAGGGAGAAGAAAAAAAAGTCACTGAACGTTTTGAACCCTAGGTAGATACATAAATCATCACCTATACCCATATGTATATGTAATATATAATTCAATAGTTAATGTATACAAGTATCATAAATGTTAAGATCACAAAAGGGACAATAGTTATTATTATTTTTTTATTTATTCAATAATTAAATTGAATAAAAACAATATTCTATTTAATTTGTTCTAATAAAAGACTTAAATATTTAGCTAAATTACGAAGATGTGCTTTTTTTATTTCATCCGCTTTTGGATCATATACAGAATCAAGAAATTCACTTGAACTTAATACATTAAATACATGTTTAATACGTTCAATTGATTTTTGACTTAAATATGATGATACAGCTTGACATATAATCTCTTTACAATCATCTATTTGTTCTTTAATAAAATTATAATTATATGTATATTCAGTTTGTGCAAAACTTATTAATGTCAAACCAATTGTACGACTTTTCTCTTTAATTTCATTAATATTTGTATAATCTTCTTCAGTTAAATTTTGTTGTTTTGATATAACACCAATTTTTCCAATTGTTTTAATTAAATATTTATATAATTGTTTTACATCTTTTTCAGGTTTTATATGTAATTTCATTAAAGAACGTAAAGATTTAAGTGATTCATAAGCTCTTTTACCAATGATTGATTTGATAGATTGATCATTTTGTAGAACTCGACCAACAATACGTTTTTGTGCACGAAACCAAACAGATTGTGAATTTTTTCTTTCTAAACCATTATTTAATTTAATTTCATCATCAGAACTTAGACTAATTTCATCATCGTCATCATTTTCATCATCATCTTTGTCCAGATGACCATTATTACATGGATTTCCTAAAGTATATTTCTCAATAGGCGTCACCATAACTTTTGAATAAGAAAAAAAAATCAATCAGAATGAAAAAGACAATTGAATAGGCAAATCTTGAAGAATTAGTTTAACAGTTAATGTAGCGAAACTTTTAACGAATTTTTTAGAGGTCTAGAAAACAAAATGATAAATTAAATTAATTAGAATAGCAAAACTTCTATGAACAAAATTCATTTAGACAGCAAAATTATCGTATATATAGTTATGAGAAAACTCCACCGTTAGCACTTCTAGGGCTACTGCCGGACTGAATCCCGGGTAAAGAACGAGGGTGGGGTGTAAGGTCAGCAATCTTATCCCGTAGAAAACAACCTTATTAAAAAAAACGCTAACCCAAATAAATAAACTAAAGCATTTAAACTTTGACCTATGGATTCAAGGACATTCATTCAGAAGAATCAAGATACTTTATGGTGGAAGACGAGATTCTTCGGAAGTCACATGGCCGATGGCCCTGCTAACAACCACAGCAACAATTAATATAGGTACATGGAAGTTACGGACAATGTGGAAGACTGGGAAGACCGGTCAAATAGCAACGGAAATGAGGAAATATAACTTGATCGTGCTCGGCATAAATGAAACCCATTGGACCCAAGCTGGACATTAATGGTTAGATAAGGGAGAGATGCTGCTGTACACTGATTACGAAAAAGAAAATGATCCACACACACTCAGAAAGTTGTTCACATGTTGTTCAAAGAAGCCTGAATAGCATTCATAGGATGAGAATCTCATGGATCTAGAATCATTAAAGCATCCTTCAAAACAAAGAAGGGGGAATCACAATGAATGTTATCCAGAGTTACACACCCACTAATGATGGCAACGACGACGATAAACATCAGTTTTATGAGAGACTGCAATCAATCAAGGTGAAGTGCTCAGGAATGGACCTGAACATCCAGGTACAAGACCTAAACACCAAAGTCCGAATCGACAACATCGGCTATGAAGATATCATGGGACAACATCGAGTGACAGGGAGAAACGAATGAGAATGGTGAGAGATTCTCAAATCTATGTGCATTCAACAAAATGTTTACAGGTGACACGATTTTTCCATACAATCACATTCACATCACTACATGGGTCTCACCAGATCACACTACAGAGAATCACATCGGCCATATTTGCATCACTAAAATATTCAAATGAACAATGGAAGATGTGAAAACCGGGAGAGAATCTGACATAGAGTCAGATCACCATCTACCTGGTGTTTGCTAAGATGAGACTGAAGCTAGGGATGCACTGGACAACTGGAGAAACAGCATTGCAAAGGTTCGTCACAGCCTTCCTTCGAGATACTAACAAACTAAACCAATTCAAGATAACTCTCGAGAACAGGTTCCAAGCCTTACAGGATCTTCTGAAAGAAGAAACTACTATGGAGGACAATTGGAAAGGGATCAAAGAAGCACTAACTTCAACGTGTCAGGAGGTACTGGGTCGCAGGATGCATCATCATCATAAATGGATCTCTATGAAAACCCTGTCTCAGATTCAAGAAGTGAGGAACAAGAGGACAGCAATCAACAACGGTCGAACATGCACGCATAAATTCAAGGAACGAGCTGAATAAACAGAAGCAAACAAACAAGTGAAGAGGAGTATTGGAGTTGACAAGCAGAAATACATGGAAGACCTGGCAACGACAGCTGAAAACTCTGCGAGAGGAAATATCAAACAACTATTTGACACGGCGAAGAAACCGACATCGAAATATAGTAAACCAGATAAATCGGTCGACGACAGAGAAGGCAAGACAATCACTGATATTCAAGAACAGCGAAACAGATGTGTGGAAAACTTTGAGAAACACTTAAATAGACCACTTCCATCGAACCTACCAGACATCGAAGCAGTAACTACAAACCATCCTATAGCTCTTCCTACACCAACGATCGAAGAAGTCAGGATTGTCATCAGACAAATCAGGAGTGGGAAAGCAGCACGATCTGACAACACACTACATGAAACCCTGAAGTCACATATAGAAGTAAGTGCAAACATGCACCACGTTCTATTCAGAAATATTTGGGAGGAGTGATAAATGCCACTTACAGACTGGAAGGAAGCACACCCTATCAATATATCACAGAGAGGATATCTGAACAAATGTGAGAACTACAGAGGCATCACACTATTATCGGTATGAGGAAAGGTTTTCGACAGAGTATTGCTGAATCGTATGAAAAATTCAGTAGACACCAAACTTTCAGATCAACAGACCAGATTGCGTAAGGATCGGCCGTGCACAGATCAGATCGTGACACTACGGATCGTCGTTGAACAATCAACTGTGTGGAAGTCGTCACTATATATCAACTTCCTAGACTATGAGAACGCATTTGACAGTGTGGATAGGCGAACATTATGAACCTTCTTTGACACTATGGTGTGAGTAACTGAGGATATAGTCAACATCATCCGGAATTCATACGACGGACTATATTGCAAAATCGCGAGTGGAGTGAAGCTGACAGATGCATTCCAAATGAGGGCCGGTATCAGACAAGGTTGTTTACTCTCACCCTTTCTCTCTCTTCTGGTCGTTGACTGGATTATGAAGAACTCGACATCCGAGGGAAAGCATTTAGTACATTGGACAGCTTGGATACAACTAGACGACTTAGACTTTGAAAATGAGTTGACCCTTGTGTTCAACAGACGGGAACTAATACGGCTGAAGATAGACAGTGTGGCATCAGCAGGCCTCAACATATACAACGGAGAAAGCAAGATTATTTATTTGAACACATAAATATTAGTCCAAAGTGGCGCGGAAATAATGTGTGCAACAGAAGTCACTTGATCTATATGTGCGCAGTAATACTGCCCGGGTGTACAGACCAAAGCAGGTGGTTTTCTTGAGGGGCCACACCCGGAGTCTTCTATCTAAATATCTGATTCACAAGGCAGTGGAGCAACGTCAGGAGATGCAGTCCTATGATAACCCGTGACCAACAACTGATTTATACGCTACACGTTTCCTCGGAGTCTTGGAGTTCATATGCATCATTGGTTTGGAATCAGGGTTTCCCAACTCCTCTATGTGGATTCTCGATATTCACCAACCCGAATAAAGCGCCGGGGAATCACTTATCGTCCCGTCAATTTTGTAAACAACACGCCCGTCGTGAGAAGGCAGTGAGTAGGGATTTATTGGCAATTGTCGTATACGCATAGCCATGTGAGAGTATTTGGAAAGGGAGAGCCTACTCTCCACCCTCGGTCGTACCAGGGCATTTGGGGGCAAAAAGCAAGATCCTCAAATACAACACGGAGAACACCAACTAGCCCAATCACACTTGATGGATAAACTCTGGAACAGGTGGAATCTCTCACATACCTGGTCAGTATCATCGATGAACAAGGAAAATGTGATGCAGATGTACAGGAAAGGACTGGAAAAGCAAGGGTCGCATTACCACAATTGAAGAACATATGCAATTCAAAACAACTGTCTGCAAGACAACATTAAAGTCACAATCTTAAATGCGAACGTCGAAACAGTTTCACTGTACGGATCTGGAACTTGGAGAACTACCATGACCATCATCAATAAGGTACAAGTATTTATAAATAATTGTGTACACAACATACTCAATGTCAGTTAGCCGGATACTATCAGCAACGGCCAAATGTGAGAGAGAACAAACCACGAACATATGTTCATGTGGTTAATGTAGAATTCTTCAACTACCTATTCGCGGGTACGAACCTCGCTTTAACATCTTGATAATTGGGAAGTGGAGGTAGTATCACTACCTCTCATTGTGGTTAACAGTTGGATAGTTAAACGTATACTTAATGAATAGGTTACTTTCCGTATAGGTAATTAGTTTTTGAACGTAAATGAAACGAAGCTCTTTGCAAAGATGATCATGCATAAAATAGTCAGAATAAAACTTTTCAAAACAAAGATTACATGGAACAAAAAATATACAATTATACATATAAATGAAATGGGATTATTCATTTTTAAGCTTGGAGTATTATCTATCCCCCAAATGCCCTGGTATGGCCGAAAGCAGGATAGGTCCGCCCTCCCTCTCGAAATACTCTCACACGGCCACGCGTATACAGCCTCTGCCAGGGAAGTTCAAATCACTGCCTAAGCGTGACGGTGGTGTTGCATTATTTATTATTTATTTGAACACATAAATATTGCTACAAGAGAGCGCCAATATATATGCGCCACACAAAACAATGAGAATTCGAAGAGAAAGCAAAAAAGGAAAGGAGCGTAACAAAAAAGAGAACAATAACGAAGAGGTTGATGTAATGTAGTGTAATAAAAATAATAATAATAATGACTGAACGGAAAGGTACAATCAGAAGAAATCTTTCAGTTAAGAAAGATACAACCACTTTTTATGAAGAAAGTAAAAGAGGGTTACAGCAGGATCGCCACTGGCTTCTATTCTGAGCCATATCTAATAACGTCTCTAGTCACTGTGTAGCACCATCTCCCGAACCCCAGCCAGAGAGTCATGAAGGACCATCTCATTTGGTGGATCAGTCGTCACCGGTCATGGAGGGCAGGACAGTCTGACCGATGTTGCCGGAGCAGCAGGCCAGTTGAACTGCCCTTTGAAGAATTCCGCCAATCGTCCAAGACGTCGATGGACGTTAGTGATTGGCATCCCGTCGTCCTCGCAGATCGTTTCGCTCACACCAGACTTCTTGCTGTCAGTGGCTCGGATGAGTTGGAAGAGCTTCCGGTAGTTACCAGATGCAGCTGCTGCTTTCAACTCATTAGCACGCTCCGACCACCAGGCTTCTCGGTCCTTAAGCAAGCTTTGCCCAATTTCCTTACGTAACATCCTTCGTTTGTGATCAAACTCACGGTCACCCGGAGTAGACCGACGGGCTTCAATGAGTTGTAAGGAGCCTGAAGAAACCCAGTGCTTATAAGCGGGACGTTTCGCGAACCTACAACTGACTGTACCCGCCATTTTCATGGCGTCATGCAATTGCAACCAATGCTCATCAATACTTTTCGGTGTAATGGTAGCTAGCCTAGAAACTAGCTCGGTTCGATACTTACTAGCAACAGAAGTTGCAACCAGCTTGCTAACATCAATCCGTTGGTGGCGGTCACTTCGTTGTCCACTGAAAAGTAAGGTAAGATTGGCGCAGACCAAGGCATGGTCAGAGTCCAGATAGGTACTCCAAAAGGGGCGGCAGTCTTGTACACAACCACGCCAGCGGTAGCTGATCGCGATGTGATCAATCTGAGTCCAGGCTTGGGATGCAGAGGGAGGACGCCAGGTGGCACATCGGCGATGACTGTGCCGAAAGTTAGTGCTAGCCAGAAACAGGTTGTGGTCTGTGCACAGTTGCAGTAGACGGTCCCCGTTATCTGACCTGCGACCAACGAGTCCCCATCGGCCACCTAAACGACTCTCTTCTGTGCTTAGACGCCCGACCTGAGCATTCAAGTCTCCGGCTAGTACTACAATATCTGTCGAACGCACTTTCTGGAGAAGAACAGATAACTGGTGGTAAAACTCATCTTTGATTGCATCCGGGCTGCAATCTGTCGGGGCATAGGCGGAGATGACGAAAAGACATCGTTTCTCACGCCGATTTCTTCTCAATTTGATAGAACTCTCTAATCTAACAGCACATAACCGAGTGTTAATGGGGATCCAATCGATTAGTGCTGCCTCAGGTCTAGCGCTTAGTGCGAAACCAACGCCAGCAAGACCAGACGAAGATGTCACAGGGTCCATTTGTTCCCGCAGGATACTGGAGCCTATGTGCACCATTGGTTTGGAATCCGGTTAAAGCGCCGGACATTCGCTTTTCGTCCTCTCATTTTCGTAAACAACACCCCCGCCCCCCAATGCCCTGAAACGGCCGAGAGTGGGAAGAGTCCGCTCTCCCTCTCGAAATACTCTCACACGGCCACGCGTATATAGCCTCTGCCAGGGAAGTCCTACTCATTGCCTTCTCGTGGAGAGGGTATTGTTTACGAAAATGAGAGGACGAAAAACGAGTGTCCGGCGCTTTAACCAGTGTTTCTGAAACCACGTGCACCATTCAAACTGGCTGCCTTCAACGTTCGCACACTTATGCAGGTCGGACAACAGATAGGGCTGGCTATGTCTTTGGAAAGTCTTAATATCGATGTCTGCTGTCTATCCGAGACCCGTATTCAAGACTCTGGTGAGGCACTACAAATTCGATCTCCATCTGTCGCTTCGAAAAGCTTGTTTTACGTGCGCTTATCCAGGGACCCTGTGGCATCTTCGTCTGGTCTTGCTGGCGTTGGTTTCGCACTAAGCGCTAGACCTGAGGCAGCACTAATCGATTGGATCCCCATTAACACTCGGTTATGTGCTGTTAGATTAGAGAGTTCTATCAAATTGAGAAGAAATCGGCGTGAGAAACGATGTCTTTTCGTCATCTCCGCCTATGCCCCGACAGATTGCAGCCCGGATGCAATCAAAGATGAGTTTTACCACCAGTTATCTGTTCTTCTCCAGAAAGTGCGTTCGACAGATATTGTAGTACTAGCCGGAGACTTGAATGCTCAGGTCGGGCGTCTAAGCACAGAAGAGAGTCGTTTAGGTGGCCGATGGGGACTCGTTGGTCGCAGGTCAGATAACGGGGACCGTCTACTGCAACTGTGCACAGACCACAACCTGTTTCTGGCTAGCACTAACTTTCGGCACAGTCATCGCCGATGTGCCACCTGGCGTCCTCCCTCTGCATCCCAAGCCTGGACTCAGATTGATCACATCGCGATCAGCTACCGCTGGCGTGGTTGTGTACAAGACTGCCGCCCCTTTTGGAGTACCTATCTGGACTCTGACCATGCCTTGGTCTGCGCCAATCTTACCTTACTTTTCAGTGGACAACGAAGTGACCGCCACCAACGGATTGATGTTAGCAAGCTGGTTGCAACTTCTGTTGCTAGTAAGTATCGAACCGAGCTAGTTTCTAGGCTAGCTACCATTACACCGAAAAGTATTGATGAGCATTGGTTGCAATTGCATGACGCCATGAAAATGGCGGGTACAGTCAGTTGTAGGTTCGCGAAACGTCCCGCTTATAAGCACTGGGTTTCTTCAGGCTCCTTACAACTCATTGAAGCCCGTCGGTCTACTCCGGGTGACCGTGAGTTTGATCACAAACGAAGGATGTTACGTAAGGAAATTGGGCAAAGCTTGCTTAAGGACCGAGAAGCCTGGTGGTCGGAGCGTGCTAATGAGTTGAAAGCAGCAGCTGCATCTGGTAACTACCGGAAGCTCTTCCAACTCATCCGAGCCACTGACAGCAAGAAGTCTGGTGTGAGCGAAACGATCTGCGAGGACGACGGGATGCCAATCACTAACGTCCATCGACGTCTTGGACGATTGGCGGAATTCTTCAAAGGGCAGTTCAACTGGCCTGCTGCTCCGGCAACATCGGTCAGACTGTCCTGCCCTCCATGACCGGTGACGACTGATCCACCAAATGAGATGGTCCTTCATGACTCTCTGGCTGGGGTTCGGGAGATGGTGCTACACAGTGACTAGAGACGTTATTAGATATGGCTCAGAATAGAAGCCAGTGGCGATCCTGCTGTAACCCTCTTTTACTTTCTTCATAAAAAGTGGTTGTATCTTTCTTAACTGAAAGATTTCTTCTGATTGTACCTTTCCGTTCAGTCATTATTATTATTATTATTACACCACTTCCCACTAATCTATTCATCATTATTATTTCTTTCTTTCTCTTCGAATTCTCATTGTTTTGTGTGGCGCATACATATTTGTTGCCCTCCTGTACCATTATTTATGTGTTCAAGCAAAAATAAAATTAAAGTTACAAAGGGTGCTTTTTTCCTTGTGTGCAAATATTCAAGGTCAACGAATGTTCATAAGCAATCCAAATGGTAAAGATTCGTTGCTATTAACAATGAACTGAGGTTTAAGTAATTCATGTGTTCAGCTACATGAGATGGCAAACTTCATTAAATAATTTATAAGTTAGCACTAGAAGATTGAATTCGGTTATCAACACTGGTGTTCAAAATACGTCTTTGCATAGAGTTTGCCTAAAAAGCCTGTTGTATATTAAAATGATCGAGAAGGCACATAAGGACATGCAAAATGTCACACAACGTAAACTTTATATAAATTAATTTCTCTTATAATTCAAAGCTTATGTGTAGGCCAATCATTCATAATCCACAGAGGGTCTGGTGCACATGAGCGTTATTTCGATTTGCCAAAGCGCATTACAATGGTGAGGCAAAATTAGCATAATAAATATTAGAAAAAAGGAATACTGTAGTATTAACGATAAAATGTTCGAAGGTTGAGTATGTGGTTCTCGATGGGACAGAAAGGTAATAATGAAGTGATACTTGAACCAGGAAAAGACAGAGAGCGAATGCATCCGCTCCATTCTGAAAATCTTGGAGTCATTCTACCTATTATCTTCAGCTGCTGATCCCAAATAGGTAATCTGTATATATTCAAATAACATATATAGACAAACAGTCACTTCATGTGCTGATGCGGCATTTTGGTTTGGTCTCCACTATCTTCCCTATAACCTACTATATCTGCAAAAATTTCCCGAACAGGTAAGTAGTGTTTGATTACTTGTTTGTTACGACCAGTCACATCTACCAAGTGGAAACCACACAGATAAACGTTAACAGGGTTAAAGTGTGTAGTCTTCTGACAATTCTCTCAGTAACCAAATTATGGTCTAAAAACGTTAGCTGATATAAGGAAAGCAATGAGTCAGAAGTACATCCACAAAACATTTGATAGTTCGGAGGCATAAAGAGGTCATACGACGTATTGTACTCACGTCCCCATGTAAACATCACGAATTCAAATTTATCAGCAAAATTAGTGGTTAACCACAGTTATAACATTTTATATTTGAGGTTCATTTACGCTTAACTATTCATTTATTTAAAGTTTCGTGTCTAGAGTTAGGTGAAGAATAAAGGACTGGATTATGGAAAGCTCAAGCAAAGGAAAAATAGCATTCAGATGAACCATAAAATCAAAACCCCAACAAGCAAAAAAGTGTCTCAAACAAGTTCAACTTTATCATTATTAATGGATATTTGCTGTTATTTAGAGAGAAAACTTAAATTAACAGTAAGTAGGATGATATCATGAAATAGCTCATGAAAAAGCCTCATATAAAACACCGGATGGAAAATGTGTTTTCGAACTAATGAATCAAGCTATTCAAGATTTAGAAAATAAAATCATTTATAGTAATCACTCAGATCGGTAAAGTTTGAATGATGCAGCATTGGATTGATGAAAACTAATATGTTCTGTCGAACGTTCATATTTCTGAGTCGTGAAACGACAAGTCCTAGAAGTTTACTTAAAACCATTATATACACCTGGAACATTTATATTTGAGAACGTAACTGCTGGTGATTTTAAAATACACAAAAATACCAGAATACGATTAATTAACAAAGGAACCGTGGAGCTTTTTACAAAACACTTTCCATAGGACACTGGTGAGTAACATATATGCGACGAGTATCCAATCTTTGTGACAAGCAAATATTCGATTGATTCCTTTGCCCTCGCACGCTGACTCTATGATACGATTCCAAAACTTCGCTGTCAACCAAGGTAGGCAGATCAGCTACTCCTCTACACTAATCTAAGTTGAATTAATAGTTGATTAGGAGCTCATTTTTCTTGAGTACAGTTGAGTGCGTTGCTAGGACCATTCATGGCTAGAATATGATTGCACTACACGTCACAATTTATAAACAATCAAGTCGTTGTATTTATCAAGATTTAAAAAGTTAGATATAGTCAATATAAAAGTGACATATGTATATCTTACGTAATAACGTGAACAAGTAAGAAATTTGTAATGAACCAACCTACAACAATTTGTCAATTTGCGGAATTAAACAATAGTTATTGTACATTAGATAACTCAGTTATGCAAGTCCAGGTCGATTTCAAAATAAAAAAATTATTTTTATAGCCCCAGGATTAATTAATTTACTCTCATATCAGTTGTTTTAGGTCTTTCTACAGGCTGAAACGGTTTAAATATTTATGGAATGAATAGGAGAAACCTTCATTTAATGGGCTTCCATATCTAGTAGCAGAGGATCACCGATTCCCCCAGGTTGGAACCTGGGTGTTTTAGAAGTTATAAAGAAAAATATTAGTGAGTTATAATGGGACAACATTCTGAGCCCTTTCAAGTATTTCAAGTTTGTTCGTGAAAGACTCCAATGTAAATACTTTCATTTGACTACTCGTAAAGTTGAGAACGTTTACCTATAGCCTGTTCTACTGCACTTTATCTCTAGCTTCTGGATATTGCCTTCGCGTGTGTATTTGGACTGAGCTTATATCGGTACACTCCACGTATCTATAAAAATTGTTGCTGTGGTTGTTAAAAGAGAAGAATCTTGACTTTCATCATGAGGCGTCATAATTCTTTTGAATGAAGATGCTTCGATTCGGAGGACAGAGTGAAGATGCCACAGGTGTTTAAAGCTTGACAACGCTTTAGCCAGTAACACCTTCTAATATAAAGCGTACCCATCAAGTGGAATAAAAAGACAAAAGCGAGGAAACTGGAAGATATATTTGTTAGGCTATCAACATATCGAGGATCGTCTGATCTAATCTGGCTAGCGATTGCGTTAGATGTTGAGCACGGTGTTCCCACTCGTGATCTGCTGCGGATGCCTGACCGAGCGCCTCCAGCTAGGTGAGTCTATTAAAACATATGGTCAGCATTCGATGTCTAAAACTTACAGAACTATTTATTTTGAGGATTTATTTACCGCTACAGACCACTCCCCCCAGTGGGGTGGTGATAAACCTAAGACGTGGCCAGCCAGAAGTTTAAACCCAATGAGTTGTTTGTTGGTCAACACTCTTCTGATAGCTTGCTGGGTTTAGCAGCGTCTGGTCGTCTTTCCTTACTATAAGGGACCATGAAGTACAAAATAGTGAAAAAAAGTACAATAATAATTTTGGTTCCTCGTAAATCTCATCGTTCTTTTCAACATCTTTTCCAGCCGTCCTGTAAAAAAGAAAAAAGAATATGTAACTGCATCCCGAAATAAGCTCGTACGCGCTTTAAGACACAAAGTGGGAGAAAAACGGAAAATAAACTCATGTACATGTGATAGCGTAAAAGCGAATTTCACAAAATGTTTTCTTAAAATTTTTTTAATATACATATTAGCAGAATAACAAGTATGTATTAATATAAGCATATAAAAATTGGTTTATTTATTATTATATGTAATGCCATGGAAAATCGAGATGGAGCAAAATGTTAACTGGTGTCTTACGTGCAATAGCCGTTTACGTGTTCTGGAAATCCTGCTTTTCCTCCAGAACGCGTTGTTTTAGGTTTATTTACAGATACTGTCGAATAGTCATCGTGTGTGTTGGCTGCCGGATGAGGTATTATAAGTGTAGGAGCCGTGTCGTTCGATTTGTACCGAAAGAAAATCGACGTAGATAGGATTTCCTTCTAAATACGCTGCTTTGAGGCGATTGATGCTGATGCTATCTTTGGTTCCGTTCTCATCGATTATATAGTACTGAGGTTCGCGTTGAAGAACTTTGAAGGGTCCTTCGTATGCTGATTCGAATGGTCGTTGATGCGAGTCTCGACGTACGAAGACGTGTGTACTATATCGAAAGTCAGGTTGAACGAAAACATCAGTTGATTGAGGTCGAGTGGAAGCAGGTTTAACTGAGCGCATTGCGTTTGTAAGCCTGTTCGTTAGGAGGTTAGATCCGTGCTCATTGAAGAGGATGAAAGATCCACGAATTCTCCCGGAAGTCGAAGTGTCGTTCCATAAACCAGTTGAGCCGCAGTGTATTCATTGTCGGCTTTCACTGCATTGAGAATACCTAGTAAAACGAGTGGAAGAGCGTCGGTCCACTGTGAAACGTTAGCAGCTGATAGTGAAGCTCTTAGTTGTCGATGAAAACGTTCTACCAACCCGTTTGCTTGTGGGTGGTGAGCGGTCGTTCGGAAGCGAATGATTCCTAAAAGTGTGGTCGGACGACGGAAAAGTTCAGATTCAAACGGATGTCCGCGGTCTGTATTGATGGTTGAAGTTTGCTACCCATCGTTCGACGAAGGTGCGGGCCACTGTTTCAGCAGTGATGTCCTTGATAGGTACTGCTTCTGGCCATCGCGTGAAACGGTCTATGCAGGTTAAGAGGCAAGAGTATCCATTTGAATCTGGTAAAGGTCCTACCAAATCCAGATGAACATGGTCAAAACGAGCATCGGGAGTTTTAAATGAGCCTAAGGGACATTTATTGTGTCTGATAACCTTAGATTTCTGGAAGCGTACACAGGAGTGTGCTTACTCGTTCACGTCTTTATTCATGCCAGGTCAGCAAAACCGTTCTGCTATAAGCTTGATGGTTGCACGAACACCTGTATGAGAAAGTTTGTGCAACGCATTGAAGACGTTGCGACGACAATGATTCGGCACGATTGGGCGATCCCTACCTGTAGATGCGTCACAAAGTAAGGTTTTCTTACCTGTTCCTATTTGTTTGATGCATAGTTTGAGGGTTGTAGACGATAACTCGCGCTGAAGATCAGTGTCTTCTTTTTGAAGCTCGGCGAGTTTAAGAAGGTCGATTCCTTGGAAACTGTTCAAAGAAGTTATTTGAGACAAGGCGTCTGCGACTGCATTGCTTGCTGCAGAAATATGTTGAATATCTGAAGTAAACTGCGAAATGTAGTGCAGTTGTCGAGACTCAAGGGGAGAGTACTTCTCTCAAGGAGAGTTTAGAGAGAAAGTGAGAGGTTTATGGTCCGTGAAAAGAGTGAATTCACGGCCTTCGATATAGTGTTGGTAATGCCGTAGAGCACAATACATAGCTAGGAGTTCCCTACCAAATGTACTGTACCTCGATTCGGTGTCTAGCAACCGTCTAAAGAAAAATGCTAAAGGTTGCCAGCTATGAATTACGTTGTTGGTCAAACTCCGAATACTTATGGCATCTTCACAGTTAAGAAATTTCAGTTTGATTACTTCTATCTAAGCATATCTTGAATGACTGCTTGCTTGCTTTGTTTTGTTTGATATGCCTGAAATGCTAGATGACCCAGTTACTGGTCACAGAACTTATTGCTGCATGATGAACAACCACTTTGTGCCACATGTTCCTGAACACCACTATACAGAATGATTCCAAAATCTGGAATGAGTTACAAGATACCATTTCTTATCGTGGGATCGCACAAAAATGTGAATATAATATATGATTGCAGTATCACGAAACACCTACCTCTCGGTACCAGAAAACAGAGGATGCTAATGGGGAATGTTATTGAAGCATTCATCATGTACTTTCTAAGTGATTTAAGTATTGCACCTATCGCCACAGAAAAGAATGTTTTCGTAATTTTACGGGATACTCGATATATCACTTTATTCCAAGAAGAATCCAACGTATGTAATTGACTGTTAATCATTATTGTGAATATCATAATTTTAGCTAGATTTCGAATAAGTTCGTTTTTACTCAGACCTTTTTCTTGTTCGTTTATTACTTATACCCTGAACATTTTCAGTCTCACAAAGTTCTTATTTGGCATTACGAGAGTATGTCAATCAATCGTGTTTCGAGAATTAACCGGAAAAGATCTTAAACGTGATGCTCCTTCTTTGACAATAAATAATACAGTGTTTTGAGCTTTTCCTGAATTTTGTATATATGGTATTCGAATTATCGTATGAACTAGGAATTCCAGGATTAACGCAATTGAATTAAGAAGACACAGGCACAAACGAATGTATTGTATTTAGAATTCGAAATCGAGCATTCAACCAGTACAAAGGTATCATTAGTCCATTCAAACACCACATCCGCCACAGCTTAAATAGAAGTATAAGTGTTTGTAATCGGTTGTACATCTTCATGTTAAGTTCATCCTGAGTCTGTCCGACATTGTATAAGATAAAAGCTTTGTAGTATCTAGAAAGTGCTCATCAGTATTGGAATTAACAAACGAAATCGGAACAGACTCACCTGGGATTGTATACAACCAGCATGTCGGTTTTGTACTGAAATCATTAATATCTCGAATTCAAACCATAGATTTTTCAACACTATCCTCCCCCACGAAATAATGTTGGATCTTTATATCCCCAAGTTATGAATAATGTGGCTTCATTTAAAACATATTTCTCACATTGTTTAGAGTAAACATTAGAACTGTTTTTGTGATAAGGGTAAACAGCAGTTGATATGAAATCATCCGAAATGTAATCAAACTCGAGGTCACTTAGTACTCGTGCTTCGCATTGAGCAGGTTTTTCACAAGGATCAAATGCATTATGAGGATAGGTAATATATGATATGACATCAGGATTTGATTCTTCTGAAATATTCTCATGAAATTCATTAGGACTGTTATTGAAGAGCGTAGGATCGTTAGAAAAATCAGCATCTATCCAAACCACATCAGGTTTTCGATCATGATAAGGTTCATTTAACATATTTTCCTCAGAATTGCAAGTAATTTCATTAGAAATATGTGAATCATTAGGAAAAGTCATACCTGGTACAATAGCATGAGAATTCTGATAAATCGGTTGATTAGAAACTGTTGTCTCACAAGAATTCTGGATTTCATCTAACTCTGAACTGCCATATGACTCTGCACTGTCTTTTGAAATCGTTGATAAAGATAAATGATCATCATGAATACTCGACTCAGTAGAATCAGAATTACAAGACTTAATATTAGTTGCAGTAAGATGAACATTAGCATTACAAACTGACTGAACTTGTCCAATATCACGACATTTGAAGCACTTAGAATTACGAAATTGACATCAATTAGAAGAGTGGAACTTGCAACAGGACAAACACTGACTAAACTTGTCCCCATCCTCATGAACCGCATCCAAACTCAATGAATTGTCTGCATAACCTTGAGTATGCACTGGGTGGGGATGACGTAGTAATGTAGTGGTGTTTTTTATATCCTCATGAATCATTTTACGAAATCTTCCTCCTTCACGACATTCGAAATTTGTATACTGAGCATAGTCTAGCAGTAGATCCTTGAGAGCTGTATAAGAAAGCGAAATGGGCTTTTCCGGCATAGCCAGAGTTCTTAATAAGCTGTATGCTTCTTTCCCAATGAATGTGAGGAAATGTGCCACAATATTAACATCCTCATCATCTTCCTTGGTCATAGCCCAGATTTCGAACCTTTCAAAGTAATCTTCAAAAGCTTCCGAAGTTGAATGAATATCTAACTTTTCCATTGCAGGCTCTATCGCGACGCCAATATGGTATTCGAATTATCGTATGAACTAGGAATTCCAGGATTAACGCAATTGAATTAAGAAGACACAGGCACAAACGAATGTATTGTATTTAGAATTCGAAATCGAGCATTCAACCAGTACAAAGGTATCATTAGTCCATTCAAACACCACAGTATACCCTGAACTCGTAAGCATGTTGAAACGTTTAATGTTCGCTTGTGTTCATTTTACCTATCTACGTTTTGAATGGTATCGCTTTCTTCTACAAATCCATAGCAATGTAACATCAGTGAACTCCAATTAAAAGGCAAAACCTATTAATAGCATCAGGTATTAAATCTTATACTGTTCAGGATAGAAGGAACAACCGCGTGACGGCGGTTATAAGGATCGAAATACGGGCTGCGTAGTGCGAATTTATTTACAATACTCGTTTGTACGTCCCATGTTCATCCTTCCAATAACGATCGAGGGAATCAACATAGTCATCAGATGAACCAAGAGTGGTAAATCAGTATGACCTGACAAAGTAACGGCCGAAGCACTGAGTCACACATAGAAGTGATTGCAAACATGTTCTACGTTCTATTCAGAAAGATTTAGGAATGAAAAGTGCCACTAATAGACTGGAAATAAGGACATCTCACCAAGATACCAAAGAAAAGACATTTGAGCGAATGTGAGAACTACAGAGGCACCACACGTTCAGCGGTCAATTAGGTTTGCTTCCTCTAGCTTCACATGAAGCACAGAGCAGTATCATGTAGACGAATGTGTAGGGTCGCCTGAAGATTCATCAGTCCGTGTTGGTCTTCATTTATCAATAACTATTTAGTCCCTTGTGATCAGTCCTCTGAGTTTGGGATGTCTGAGAAAATGAACTTTCCGTCACCGGTTTACCACTATTTCACTGATCAGATAGGAATTCTATCCTCGATAATTTAGTATGTCTTCTAACTAACCTCTGTTTGCTTGAGTCAAATAGTAGGTTATGGTGTTTTACGCCAATGATTTGCGTAAACCCACGTTAAGGCAGACATACTTTTAACCTTAACAAGCGACCGGCTTCCCGATTGCCAAACGCAGTCATACCAGGAGTCAGAAATGGCATGTGAAGATATATTATATATATATATTATTTAGTGCGGACCCTTGACTGGGAGCATTCAGTGGACGTTCAATGAGACCAACGGTTTAAACATCAATGTCGAAGACATTCTTGATGGACTGAAGATTTCACACCTTATGACAAACGTTGGGTCAGGTATGTCTGGACCACTAATACAAAACAGATAATGTCAAGTGATCCCTCAATATAATTATCGTCTCGACAGCTCAGTACATGAAAATCATTGCTGTTACAGTGGAGTCCTGATACACACAGTAAATTGCTGAAAGTTTAAACACTGGGGAGTAGTTTCAAATATACATCGTAATCCAACATTAACTGAGCATTAGCGTCCAATAATTCCAAAAGATTTGGTAATGAGAGTAGTGAAAGCCTATTGTAGTTTATTGTAATGACATATTGGAGTAAAAATACCGCAGATTATTCAGTTACAGAGTGTTGAACAGAAAGACTACTTAGTGAAGATATATGTTTATTGAAAAATATTTATTAGTAAATAGATATAATGGTAAGGCGAAATTTACATGGTCAGAAATGAACATAAAATTCATATACAAAAAACAAATACTAGGTACAGTGTGTTAAACAGACAAACTGCCTTCTCGAAAGCTACTTGCGGAGATAAGACAATTTACAACAGATGGTATCCCTTTATTTGAAAGTCGTTTAGCCTCATCAAATATATGAACTATTTGTTCCAACTGAGGTTTGTCAACTAAGAAACCATTAACCGGATTGCTATTATTAGTTATGAAATTATCTGATACAGGAGCAACACTTCTACAGTAAGCTGATCCAATTACTTCATATGGTGTGTAGTTTAACTGGCATCCAACTTTGGATCGGAAAAACGTAACTTGGTCACGTGCAATCTGTGACCAACAAGCGTCATTACCAATAACAGCAATTGCAGGAGCATGATGACGTGCTAAAGAATCCCATTCCACTAAACTATATCCTGCTGAACCATCACCATAAATAACCCAGACAGTAGCCTATATGGGAAAAATGTAAATAAAAATTGAGTTTTTGACAATGAACAACTATTAAAAACCGAATTACAAACCGTTGAGTTATTATTAGAACATGGAAAAATTAAGATGGGCATAATTATAAAGTGATTGGTGAGTCCTTAGGTTATGAAACAACGATATAATAAATCATATTTCAGCTTGTTTTGTAGCATTTTTTAAATTTTTGCTGTGGTAGATTTCGTTGTAGAAGATTTACTTGAAAAGATCTATGGGATGGGGAGGTGGGAGAAAGTCTTCACTCAACTCATTCGTTAGTGCCGCTCATCTGTGCACATGAAAATTCATTGACGCTCTAAAAAAGAACAGTCATGATGAACTAAAAATAAAGTGATGTTGCAAGAATTCAGAAGCAATATGGAAAAAGGAAAATACAGAAAGGTAGAAATGCGCACCAAACTAGTTGTACACTGTAGAAACATATATATATATATATATATATATATATATATATACTAGACTATTAACGCGGAATACCACATAGTTTAAGCTCGTACACTAAGCTACATCAAACTATTATAAAATTAGATTTACATCTATACGACGTCATCACAGAACATTTTTGAAGCTTGTTCTTGAGTTGTTATATTTTTTCAGTTAATGTATTAGGAGTTAATTTTATTATATTATTGAAGAGCCATTTTAATGCCTCTTCTTATTAGACTCGCCTATATTAATGCCTGTTTTTATACATATGGACCCATTGACAAGCTCATTTTTGACTCCGCTTTTATTGAAAGATACTACGGTAACAGACACTATTAGTTGTAGACATTCCATCAAGAATCGTTGCTATATCCTTACACGGTGAATCAGTTAGTCATAATTAACATAATTTCCCTTCTGGTAGATAATCAGCATAAACATCTCACTTTTATACATCAGTTTACGTTAAAGCGGAATTTCGCTTCGAATCATTATCGTCTTTTTCTTTGTTTGTGTTCAGGATATAGTTATCGAAGCATATGATTACCGGAATTTTCCGATTCTGTCGTATATAAAATATTTTCAAATGTTTATAATCATAATGATCAACTTCTTACAAGCAACTTAACTCAAGTAGTTGACAGTTAAAAGTCAGAAATTTCAAGTCATCATACTGTACAACTGAAATACTTAACAGAAAAACGAAGAAAAGAAGAATAAAGAAACCAACATCATCAACAAGATTAAATGGATTTATCGTTGAAAGTTGTATGGAATATCTGCGATTTTTATTGAAACTTCTAGAAATAGTTCTTCGAAAGGAAGTATAAATATTCATTTTAAAGATGGGCATTTTAGTTGGTTAATTAAAATCTCTACAATATGCTGAACGTACCCGTTAATAAGAGAAACAAAATCCGTAAGAATAAAACCAATAAAAAAAGAATTTTATTCTAAAGCTGAAAGAAATAATCTTATAACTCAGTAAAACTCTAAAAATGTGTTTGGAATATAGGAGAAATGCAGCTGTCATATGTTTAAACCCAAATTACCTAATTTGTTTCATTTATATATAATCCCTAATAAATAATTTGTAGAAACTTACATTTGGGCGGCATAGTTTAGCACCTAATGCGAATCCTCCACCAACACCTAACGTTCCAAATGGTCCTGGATCTAACCAAGATAACGGTTTTCTTGGACGTACAATATATGCTGCCGATCCTACAAAATCTCCACCATCAGCAATAATAATACTATCTTCGGAAGAATCAGTTGGTAGACCATAATGTTCCAACTTCCAGAGAACGGAAAGTGGATTGTTATGCTCAATACCTTCTACTTGACAGCTTAGTCTGAAAGGAAAACATAAAAGATATGATGAATACTGAGATTACGATTGATTATCTTGAAGTTTAGAACAAACAAACAGAATGTTAAAACTATTCAAACCAACAATATGACTGAAGTTTTTTTCTAAATGACGGGATTTTAGACTGGAATATACGAATTTTCGAGATTTTTTCGAATGTATTAAACCTGATGGACATGAAAATATGGTCAGCTAACTTGATTAATGAACTTCAACAATTGGATTTTTTCATGAACCGATTAAGAATATGAACTTATGGAAGTACGAAAGCCAAAAAAGTTGTGGTCCATTATTTAGACGTCGATAAGACCGGACGACGTTATCGACAGGCTCACCACATTAGTGGCCCGATATCTGACTCCAATTAGATCATATGTTGATCGCTATCGAAACATATATATCGCCTATCCTCGCATATAATTATCGACTTAACTCACGTTAGTGAATAGCGGAATTAAAATATGTCAGATACGAGAACGGATTTCGAATACGTATATATATTGTACAATCATTGATCCAGGCAGACGATCAAAAGGACGAAGCGAAACGAAATAATGCGCAGTGGAGAAGGCATGTGAGCCAACTCTCACCAAGCAAGCGTTAATCGATATTTATAGTGACGCAAAAATACGCTACAGACGTGTGATGAATAGTATAAGCTGTACACACACGATCATATAAAAACAGTCAGGGTTGTTAAGTGAATAATTAATACGGTCAAAACGTGACTCAAGAAGAACGAATAGATCGGCCTGTCCAGGAGCTAGAATAAGCTGTATGGGCTGAACATATCAACGGACACTACAAAATGTGTAATGCAACTCTAATGACAAAAGTAATCCAAATCACCTCCATTTAAAATTTTAAATATGTAAAAGTTGATCTGGATAGTTTCCATTGATTAAAAATAATAAACTTTATAATTCATCGGCTAAAATTAACAGGATATGCAGAATACTTTTATTGCAAAGCAAATGAATGTTCTATACCCTTCAGAATTTCTTTTAACCAAAACTACTTATAAAGACCGGAGATCTTTTAGATGGATCTTTAAAAGTTCCTTGTGTTAGATGATTGAAAGTAGTCGATAAAGCACTCTGAACTTATGGTTCTTGCTAATTTATGTCCAGAGTTTGACAGACAGAATTCAATCAGAACTGAAGGATTTAAAGAGAAACAATGTTCGTTAATACTGCTGAGTGAACAATTATTATCTACAAACATCTCGTCATCCTGCTATCATAACCAAGAAAATTATTGTGATGAATTTTTAGAATTAAGTGTTAAGTGATAAGAAGAGAAGCCATACAGTTCAAACCCTTCTTAATTCCTCAAGATTACGGTTAATCTATAAATATTGTTAATCTACATTAATTAAAGGCTGAAAACTCATTAGTTGAATTAACCATACATTGTTACAAGAATAAACAATGAGAATAACCTACTTAATCTCTTCATCTTGTTTTATTTCACGTGATTTTAAAATATTTAACCATTCAGTGGAACAATTTAGTTCATTAGTAGAATTTTGTAGTTCAAGTGATAAATCTCTTAGGGTTGTACCAACATCAGCTTGAATTGTTAGATATGGTCTCCAAAAATAGTCAGCATTCTATATTTAAATATTAAAAAATAAAGACGAATATTTACCTGCTGCCAACACATAAAGGTAGACTCGTTGTCTAATACTAACATGGTTTAGACACTAGTATTGAAGTGTGGGACGGAGGCTTAATGACTTCCTATCAATAAGTCGTACATTTGAACTCCCTAAATTTACTTCAGTTTAGAGGACTGAGTAGTATCTCGTACACTTATACTGTAGTTTGAAGCCATGTACACGAATTTCTACCTGTTAAGTGAGTATTCATTAGACTATAAACTAACAACTTGTACAATTAATTAGTTACTATCAAACACTGTCCTATAAAACTTTTTAAAGGAATCATGATCGAGATAAGCGGAAATTTCCTAGTTCATGTACGAAAGACTGATAAGAGCTAATATTTCATGAAGTAGGAAGTTTCATGGATGAAATTATTGGAACAAATCATGTGAACTTATATCGAAAAGATCAATAATGCTTCTAATAGACATTTATCTTCAACTGAAAGCCTTTAGGGTCAGTTGTGCCCATATACACCACATTTTTGAATCAATAGACGGTACACAATAGTATTTTAAAAAGTTTAATGATACCTTGTTTTGTTAAGAAATAGTGACATTAACAAATGTAGTGTTTTCCTTAATGTTACTTAACATAATGACGGGTAGCAAGCTTTGCATCAGGCAATTAACAGACATTAATAGCTATATTTAGAATAGATCTATAGTAGGAATTTCTCCATAATAGATGAAAAATGGTTATCAGTGGAATCCAAGGTTTTTCAACTGAATGTACCTTCATCCAAGTGTGTTGATGTTTACATAGAAACTTAGACACAATAGGTTTTGTTTCGAATACCCAACGTATTACTTATTGTAATCCAATGGGTTCAGATAGCTACACAAACGTGTTTGATTGGTATGGTACTTCTATCATTAATAGTAAGGGGTTTGAAATTTGACCAATCTTTGTTGAATAATTCAAACTCACTATTAACAATGATTTAGGAAAAGGATTATTACACTATTCGAAAAGTCAGGAAATGAGCAGTGTAGATAAAATTGTAAAGGATTCCAAACTGTGTTATAATAAAAGAAATATAACTTTATTGCCAAAAATATTACCAAAAAAAAGAAACAATAAATTTACAAGATATAAGTTCTTCTTATTTCGATTAATTACAACAATCTTCGCTTTTCGATTTAACACACGACCATAATCTAAGCGAAAATCACAAATGGCACCTTTGAAACAAACAACAAAAAGAAAACACAATAGATTGAAGAGAAGAAATGGATAGAATACTTTATCAAGTTAGAAGAAACTTAACAAGAAAATGTATATGATGGATGCAGGTATTTGATAGAACAAGTAAAAGAGAAATCGTTTATCATTGGGAACAGTAGCATTTAAATTTAGAAAGCTAGTCAGATAAATTAACAAGTGTATCAGTTTCTGTAGTCAATGTTAAGTTACATTTTCGTGTGAGGGCCAGTGTAATTACTAACTCGACTATCCAAACTTGTTAAATACGATGTGGAACATTGAGGACTATTCTACGGTCATATATATATATATATATATATATATATATATATATATATATATATTCAAAACACGTTAAAATATGTGAATCAATAGGAATACCGCGAGTAGAATCAATCCAATATTGCATTCTGCGGCGTTCAATTCAGATAAAAATGCCAAACAAATAAATAGGTACACAAATCATTGGTATACATACATTTGTTCTTCTAGCCCGGTGAAAGACATGTAAGCCAAAGTTATGACTAGGAGCATCGTCGGATTTCCCGATTACAGTTTATCACCACCTACTATTTGAATTTGAGATGGTATTTGATTCAAAAAACGTAATATACCTAGACGCACCCTGCCTACCATTTAGAAAGTCACTGAGAACTATACGTCATACAAACGATCCTATCATCCTTGTTCCAAGGTAATTAATTCGACGACATAACATAAGATATCCACGAAGCAACCAATAAACAAACATTCATAGTAACTCAATTCAATAAATAATGCCAAACAATCAATACAAAAAATGTAGATTAGTGATAATACCAAAATTGATAACAATAAATACCTGCGAGAATAATTAGATCAGCTTCACGAAGTGCAGTACGACGGGCATGACGAAATCCAAGTTGGTGATCTCGACCAAGAAGACCACGAGCCATACCTGACATGTAAGTAGGTATACCCAAGGTCTAAAAAGAAACGACTAAGGTTGAGAAACATCGTGCTGATGAATTTGTCGATAAAAATTACACGGAATGAAAAAAGTACGTAGTCACACAAAGATGGTAACAAATTGCACTAATCATATTAGATAAGATACATAGATTATATAAGAGCAGATAAAGCATCTTTCAGTGTGATTGGGGCTACGAACAAACAAAATCGTTTATATTTAAAGGGGTCCGTATTTTCCGGTTGTTGGTAAAGTCTACCTTGACCAGATTGCCTCGTTATTGTTATTCCGTCACTAGTTTTAGTGAAGTTGAATTATAACAAGTAGTGAAATCCATAAAGCGCGTTTCGATTTATTTGAAACTCGTCAGGTAGATATATACCTGCATCTCAGTGTTGATGCTCACATACCGAGACTCGAACCCAATGCCTATCCCTTTAAACACAAATGTGTTATTGATAACTTTTATTTTTGAATGTCAAATACAACTGAAAGGTAGAAAAAATGGACGAAGTAATGAATAGAAACAATCACAAAAAACATTAATTTCGACCTCAGAATGTTCGCTACTGATCATTCAATAGTTATAGATAACTGTGTATTAGTTACATGACAATAACGTGTTATGACCTGAACATGTAAACAATGATTAGATTCTTAAAAATCAATTCACTTATGACCATAACGGTGTTTAAGGTAGAAATCACCAAAGCAGTTAAATTGGTGAGATTAAGAAGTTAATAAAAGAATTAACAAAGTAAGGTACACAAAATCTACACACAGAAATACGTATGAAAACGTATTTCTTCTTTACAGTATTTGTGATACTATAATTAAGTCGTTTGAGTAACTGCAATCATTGATGAGCAAGTACTTAGATTGATGGCCTCTGTTAGGGAAGCCCTACTCACTGTATACACGTGGCGGATGACAGAACCAACTCCAAAGATGAGACGTGTGCCAAACAGCAAAGGAGCCACGCTTGTTGTTCGAAAGCTGGTAATACTAATCAACTTCCTAAGCCAGAGTGAATGAAGAGGGATTGGAAATCGACAACCTAAACGTTGAAAGCTAAGTGCATTACTGCTTACCCCCCCCCCACTCTACAAAAACAAAACTTAAAATTTTTTGTTAAAGATTGATTGGTCTTAATAAAGTGTAAAGACTATGATATTTAAAGTCTTAATTAATGACTGATATTGCCAAAGTGACTCCATTGAAGAGGTATAAACGGATGAAGTCAGTACATCAAACATTCTAGTTAAGCATGTTCATGGTGTGGTATGAATTTTTTGAAGGTTCTTTGATTTAGCATCTACCATAGTTAAGTTTCCAAGAATGAGAGGAAGATTCGGTTGATAGAAAACAAAACATGCCATAGCCATTACAATACAAAACGTCAACAACCTTCAGGAACCTACTGTTCGTTAAGATATCCAAATACCGGCTACAGTGTGTACAATATGGTATTCGAAAAAGGATGTTTAAAACTTATACATAAACTTAAAATAAGCATATGCTGAATTTAGATAAATTTACTTGAACGTGAACGGCTGTCTCTTCAGCTGAAATCGGAGGTAAAACAGCTTGACTACTGATAAGTAAGATAGGCTTTTCAGAAAGTTTTATCAGCTGAGCTAATTTCTTCACTTGTCTTTTAGATGGAAGCGGAATTTTCGGTGATTTGACAACAATTCCATCTAAACCGTTTGTTTTGGATGGATGTGATTTCGATGAGAAACCATTGGCGAATAAATTGAAAAGATAGAAACGTAGATACCTGAAAAGAACGGAATGGTATAAAAAAGAGTAACAGACAAGTGTAAGCTGTGTAGCACTAGGTCTTTTAGAAATAGGTGCAGAAAGATTAAAAAGAAAATAGAGTACTTATTTTTTGGTAAATTAAATTGAATACATTAATGAGTGGTTATCACCCTGTTATTTCATGGTAGTTTCCATATATTTATCTTTATGAGCTATCTCTTACGCATCAATTACTGTTGTAGCCTATACTAGATACAAAGCAATAGTTAATTGACTATGGACAGGTTAGCCAGTCTTGAAGAAAAGTACTTTGATGTTGTTAAGCTCTTTGAACTACATGACTTAGTTGCGAAGCTTTTATTGTTGTTCTAGAGATCATCAGTGCTTAATTTATGTAGAATTGAGACTTGGTGATGCTGTCCAGAATAACAATGAAAGTTTCACAACTAAGCTATATACTTTAGAGAGCTCAACAACACCAAAAACTACTCACGTGAGCTGCAAACTTTCTTCATCAATTCTTAAAAAAAGTATCTTAGTTACAGCACACGACATTGTTGATAGGTACTAAGGAATAAATGGAGATATTTTTATTCTCAACTATCGGAAATCATTAGGAGTAAGCACCAACAATTTTCACTGCACCCATCCTAATTATATATCATCAGTTTCATTGATAACAAAGAACATTTATATTTACATCCACATTTCATTATGTAACTATTTTTGGTAATTAACTGACAATGAGAATTCACTTTAGTTTTAATATGAATCTTAGTTTTCGAAACGTTATGTGACTAACTGATTATTATTTTGTTAAATTGACTCATCCCTATCTAATCGGTCTCGACTTTCTACTCATTTATAAAGCATATATATTATTGTAGAGGGTTGATGGAGAAATAATTGAAAAAAATTACTTCTTCGCTCAACTTGTCTTTTTAGTGTCTTAATGGGAATATTTAATGAGCACTAACAATGTCAAAGATCCTATATCTACTTGAAGTGGCATATATTGACGGAGTTTATGGTTGAAGCTGAGAACTCTGGTTTATTAAGCAGTTGAAACTGGTGATAGCTGGGCAGTTGATTGCGCCACAGCATTCGATCGGTGGTACTAAGTATCAATCTTCCTTCGTTTCTATACATAACGAAACTATTTTAAAATGTTGCTTATCATCACATTATAATACCAACTTTCAATTACTTTTTTGAACATTTCATTTTTTAACTGTGATGAGTATAGATTTCTTCCCAAAGTATTTCTTAAATAGCTAGTATGTAGCTCGAGCATATGTAACAAAATCCACTGTTTGGTCTTCTGGGGGGTGGTACTTAACTGACTTCCATCTAAGAACGAAACACGCTTCAAGTCGTACACCGATTGAGATCAATCCATGACGAATAACAGCCACAACTCTAAAAGAATGCCTACTAAATCCCTTCATGTATATATTTCTCAAATAATTTCGTTCTTGCTTTATTTAAAATCATGCAGTGGATTAACTGAATGCACAGAAAGCAAAAGTTGTAAGTCTGCTGAGTATGAGAATATTACTAATCTAGACAAATAAACACACTCGAACTATGCAGAAAAAGTGTAATTAAATCTACTTACCAATTTACAATTTTCTGCCTTAAAGAATTTGTTTTGTCAGACAATTTAGTATGCTGTTCAACCAATTTATATGGATATAACAGATCGATCGGAAACTCAACTAAAACTGGTCCTTAATAATTTGAAAAAAAAATACTATTACCAAAAACATATCGCGGAAATTAGTAAGAAATTCCATGCGATTAATTCATAAGGCAGATTTAAGCAAAAACAAATACGATATAGTCTGAAGAACATATGATTAGTTTAATCTAGTCGCCCCCGCTACATATATGCATAGAAGCTAATACATTTTCGTGAATTCGAAACTTAATAACAGACCTTAAAATTAAGGCATGAATGGTCTACCAGTGAAAAAGCAGTTTGAAAGTTAAAATTGTCATGTAATTCAAGCTGAGCAGGCGAGATATCCGTCTATCAACAAAAGGATGAGTATACTGCGCGGCAGTCCGTTCTCTTTTAATTTACGGCGGCGAAACATGGCCATTAAGAGTAGAAGATACTCGTAAGCTACTAGTATTTGACCACAGATGCCTTAAAAATATTACTGGCGTCTGATGGGGTCACTGGGTAAGTAATAGTGAGGTTAGACTCAAGTTATTGGGGAATGATGGTAAATCAGTTGATGAGGTTGTGAATCTTCATCGACTGAGATGGTTGGGTCGTGTTACATGGAAAAAACGTGGACAAAATTCAACAATCATATAATATGGAATTGGTATAAACTAGGGATTATGAATCTTCATCGACTGAGATGGTTGGGCCACGTGTTACGTATGCCTGAACATCGATTACGACAACGTGCAATGCTGACTAGTGTTGGGGATCATTGGAAGGAAGTTAGGGGCGGCCAAACCAAGACTTGGCATCAGTGCTTGAAGTCACTAACTTCTAGTCTGAGCCATGTTGGAAGATGCAGACTACTTGGTTGGGGTCCGCGTGACTATCGTAACCAATGGTTGGAGACTCTTGGAGACATAACTCAGAATCGATTACAATGGCGTCGGTGTATACACTCTCTGTCTTCCCTTAAACTAAGAGATTAAAACAGCTTCATATCTTTCTTTCTACGAACTAATTCTTTCTTCCTGTACTAGATCCTTATTGCAATCTTTCTTTCATATATTACCACCACTGAATTAACTACTTTTATGAATCCGGTGTCCATCTTGTTGTGTTAATGAGGTATGGCAACTTGGACCGGTGCATATATGTGCCTGGTCCTACGTTGTAGCTGACTGACTGAGCAGTTTTCAGAGACTTTACAAGTAATTTGAATGATAGCTTTGAAAATCATAAACCTTAAATCACTAGAAGGCGACTAGAAATGTAAATGTCGGTGTGATTTTAACTGGTATCATGTACATATATTTTTTGCAGATTTAAGTTGATATAAAATCAATTTATTTATGATAAAATAGTTATGGATTTTATAGTCTGTAAAGCAATTTCTTCCAATAATACCCTGTATGAAAGGTAAAATACTGTTTGGAGGTTAAAGCAAAACAAGTAATCTCAGGAAACTACCCTTTAATCATTAACTTGGAAGTTTGACCCTTAAAACAGTGAAGCAACGTCAGAAAGTGCAACTTCATGGTAGCTAGGGCTCAAAGTGACGAGAAAAAATAAAGACGTTAGTATACCTGGGTAGACGTGGGTGCTGATAATAGTCAGGCAAATAAGATCATTGTACGTTTAGCGGGAGCAAGAGAAGCTTTTGCCAATCAGCACCATAACTTAAAGACACCTGTTTAGTCACAGAAATACCGGTGCTTAGTGTTGTAATGAGAACAGCTTTTTCTGACTGGGTATGAAAGTAGCTGCATCATAAGACTTAGATGATGAAGTTGAAAAGTTGTGTTCAATATAATAGCACCAAAAAAGCCTGGTATCTCCTCAAAATGAAATCTAATTAAGTTATCTGACAAGCAATACGTATATGTAGATTTATATCCTACTGGATTATAATAGTGACCATAACGGGTAACTTGTGAATCATCCTGTAACTTAACTTTCAACTTAGTTTTATATCTAGCAATAATCTTACTGCCTGAAACTTTGTATACAGCATCAAGTTTAATTAGTTCCAGGAAAAACGAAGAACCTTTTCTAATTCAATAGAATTAGACTGACAATCATAACAAATGCAATAAAAAAATCATCTTCTGTCATCTACAGCCAAAATATTTGCGATGAACAGTAGTTATGTTACTAAATATATTAACCACTGGGAATTGATAAATTTACCGGGAGTATCCGATTGTGCAATATAGAATGCTTCACAAAGAACAGGGATAATCTCTCTGACGTAATCTATACGTCTGCACCATTTACAAATTGGGCGGAACACAGCAAGCTGGTCGATATCTTGAAGTGATCCACGACCACGTAAAAGTCCAGAAGCAGCTCCAGCTAGAAGGACTACAGGAGATTCAGCCATCTGAGCATTCTTCACTGCTGTCACCGTATTAGTAAGACCAGGACCTATGAGTTAGATGAGGAAAATGTTGAACATTTTACTAGACCAACTTTACTACAAAGAGAATCATAAATGTATGACTTGGTGACTTTAAATCTAAAAGTACTTCTTTGTTGGTGCTAGATGTCTAGATATGGAAGCGAAACTGCATAGAACACACTTTCTATACTCAAAATTTACACAAAGCTATCCTACTGCTTAGAAGACTTGTAACTAGGTGATCGATTGCAGACTTGTGTACTTGACTTGGAGCCACAAATACTGTGTACGAGTTGGAGACATTACTAAACTCTCAAAAGTAATGTAGATGGAACGAAGTTATAGTTTGTGAAACAATCAGTGAGATTCAAAAGGTCAGATCATTGATTACTTAACATGAACCTGCTAGGTCATCAATTTTCTATAACCGTGATAGCAGAAATGTTAGCCACTTTACACATTCGGATTAAAAATCATACTTATGGTATTAAGGTTACTGATGAACTATAATTGAGAAAACTAGACTGGAGTAGACATTGACAAAATAAATGAAAACCTAAACTACTTAGCAACATACTGAATAGTTTGGTGATTGGAGTAAACAATTTACACCTCATACCCTACATCTCCAAGTACATTGGGTACCTTGCAAAAGGCCAATGACAAACACTAGCTATAAAAGTTTTTTACCAGAACGTTCAGTTGATTTAATTGAGGGAATTTTTAAAGATTGCTGATGGTGGTTGATTGAGGTAGCTGATCGTCCTAGTGTAGAGAAAGTACATTCACTTGTGATAACCGCAAATTGATCAGTATGACTAGGATAGCGAAATCTATTAGCTTCTGTAATCATTTGCTGCTCAGAAATAGAAAATTTGATAAAACCAGGCATACTTAAAACCTCACCGAGAAAATATAAATCAAATACTTCTGAACTAAAAGACATTTTATAATAATCATTAACTCTTGTATCAAGGAATTATTTCAACTAACTTGAGGCTTCTTACTTAAACACAAGTGATCAAATGACAGCTAGTGGGAAAGTGCAATTGGAATCGAATGCACTAAGTGTTTTATATTGGAGACGCTAACTTTGTTCGGTCTTGTAAAAGATAGCTTTGAGTTATTGGTGATTAATCGATCATGATACTCATTTCTCATATAAACTTTACAGATAAAATAGTTATGTTTGGTGAATTCACTAAAAAAATTCCATGACGAAGTCCGGGACGGAATTTTCTTTCTACAAGCGTCAAACGTTATTTAAAGGCTGTTTTTCATTAGTGCAGCCTTACAATGAAGGGTTAGCTAGTCAGACATGTTGAAGATATCACTTATATTTATAGTCTCCCTGAGTTGAGTGGGTTGGTGACTGGTTAAATTTCAGAATAAGTAGAGTTAGTTCTGCTTTTCCTCAGCTCGCTCCAAGTATGTCTGCCTGAGACAGATTATAAGTAATTTCGACTGCCTACTGCGGCTTTGAAAATTATGTGCAAATTTATTAGAGCTATTTTCCGCGCTTATTTAGGTAATTTCTAAAAAACACAAAACTCAAGTGTAAAGAGATATGTGCTGTCAGATCGCTGCATGTTAGTGTAATCCGAGTGCTGTTTTAAGCAGTAACGAAGCGAAAGGAAATGGCATTTGAATAAAAACTTACCTGCTGTAACAACAGCTACACCAACGGAACCAGAAAGTCTTGAAACAGCATCAGCAGCAAAGACAGCAGAAGCTTCGTTTCTTACATCTATCACACGTATATTTTCTTTTTCTGAAGCAACCAATATCGGTGATATGTGGCCTCCAGTAAGCGTAAAAATAAATGGTACATTATGCGCCTACAAATATATCAATAGTGTTATGTTACCTTCAGGACATCTGCAACCAGCTCGCCCCCATAGTGTCCTGAGCTTTTATCGATCTATCAGTAAAAAATTGCTACCAACAAAAAAACTTACTTCGAAACGAAAGTGCCTGCGCAAGCCTTTAAATATAAAAAACAGTCCGAAAACTATGAGCGATCCAGTTGCTAAGAATGACATAGTGATACGATATCTGAAAAGCAAGAGAATTTAAACTATCTTTCAGGTGTTTGAAAACATGAAGGTACATATTAACAGCTCCAATTCCAAAATAAACGTAAATTAACTGGAAAAACATGAAGTATATAATTTCGTCAGGCCAAGCCAAAAGCGAAGAGCTTACTGAATTATTTTATCAAAATGTACACTAAAGTTCTGACTACCTGCATAGCATCACTAAAATTATACCCAAACACTTTTGCTTCGATATAAAAGACATTCCACAGGCATAGTGAAATTTAAGTGGTCAACAAACAAAAAAGTAGGCGGGGCAGTTTGGATGGAAGTCTGTGAAATGTGATGTACCGTAAGGTGCACATTCGTGTTCCTAGGTAATGTAAAGGTTTTTTAAAATAAATGGCAATCCAAGTGAGTTTGAGCTTTAAGGTGATTTAGATGAATGGATAGACCAATAGTTGACAGATTAAAATAATCATAACAAGATTTCAGTAATGCATAACGAACAGCAGTTCATCGTTAGTGAATTATTATAAAGCGTCTCCAAAGAGTTGGTTACTGGACTTTCCAACCTCTCTAAGGAGTTTATGTTCGAAGTTTCTAAAACTCACTACAAGAATATAAAACTAGGACCAGCGAAAACGGGCTTTAAAAAAGCCAGGGAAGTCATTATCACCGCTGCAAAGACCTCGAATGAACGTAGATACACAACCTATCAAATTATCGTGGTGCTAGGAGTATATATATATATATATATATATATATATATATATATATATATACATGGAAAGCCAGTACATTATAAGCTAAATATGAAGTATCTGGACGAACCAAACTAGCTGTTAGTTCATGACGAAAACCCCAGTAATGCATACGTACGTTCGCTATTCACTAAGAAGCTGTCTATCAATAGCAACTAAACAGTGTCAGTTCATTGACTAAAAACCCAAGCAAACCAAGGAGTGGGAGCGCGCCAAAAGTCGACTTTGACGCCTACCGTGAAAAAATGGTGAGGATTCTCCATTCTTTGTCACACTAAGGATGGGACTGCAATTTATAAACCTTTAAAAGACGCTAGTGACCTTGAGAAAATAAGCATACTTATGAGGATCGAAAGAGGGTCACATATTATTATGAGAAACTAGATTATGAAGAAACAGGACCATAATTCAAAGTTATGAATGCAACTGAAGATTTTCATCAAGAACTGACATCAGCTATAGTTTCAAAATTTTATTTAATTATACAGTTGACCAAAATTCGCGCCTAAGTCCAAGACACGCTATACTTAATTCCATTGGTTCGTCCATGAATCGTGGTACCGACTATCCGTGAATAAGCCCGCTGCCTGAAGGTCGAAAGTTTGGAGTCCTAATGTTGTACTTAAACAACGGTTATATTCAACAAACATTTTATTATCAACATGATCGAAAGTGTGGGACGTAATAGTCATCTCACTTTATGGGTTTGTTTTATGTCTTCTTATGTGAAACTGTTACGATTCCCTCTCAGACATGTACCAAGTTTTCGATTCATATTTATGTGTCAAAGATGGAAGATGAACAGTCTATGTTGTTTCCTTTCTATCGAGCTTTTTTGTTTCCATTTAAATCTTAAAAACACACTTTTCATGTACTACAAACTGTCCTGAACCTGATGTGAGGTCCAAAACCAAATTGGATCACTTCTCAGTCTGAGGGAAAACAGAGTAAGGAGGTCTGGTTTCTTGAACTGCATTATAGATAGCAGGGCACAGAACTCTACAAATGCACAGGAAACAGTCCCCTATACCCTTCTCGAGGTATCCTTTCCATCAGTGAAAACAGGATTTTGTGGCCTAATTTTATATCCCACTGGGGCTGTGTGTATTTTGATTAGCGTATTTATTTCGAGGATGTAATAATCGTCTTAGTACGCACAAGTTTTTGAACCATTCATCCGAAACCGCACGGCAGTGAGTTTTACCGCGCTATTGCCTCAAGATCAATGGGAGGTAAGACAAGAGGGGCTAACACAGCTCTAGCGCTGCAGTTATTTACAGTCGCGAGTCCTATACTCACGAAGATACGCCTGACCACATTGGTAATCATCAGCTCATCGATCTAATGAGTAGTTACTGAAGCTTTTAAACACCCGTCAAGACACAAGAGATCGATAGTCCCTTTTATTTCACTGAGAAGAGAAAGAGGAGTCTTAAATAGTCAGGAATATAATTCCTTCGTTGCCCCTAAGGAATGTGAAAGCATTAAAATAAAGTCTATTAATAAATTACCGTGAGATAGCATCCAGAGTGTTTTACTTATGTACTTCTTGCAGCAACCTCATTATCAGACCTTACTTCGAAAGGACTTATCAAGGTTAACTTTACTATCAACTATTGTATGGAACTTCACAGATTTTGATGAATAAAATATCTTCTCTCCTTTTAGTGGATTCTCTTACGCATTAAAAGTTGGAATGATCAACCTATCATCTTTTTGCATACTGATACGATTGTAAATTTTCTTTGTCAGAAGGGCTTTTATATATACTCTGTTTTCCATTCACTTAAATGGAGTAATATTCACTAGGTCATAATGCCTTTCAAAGTTAGTTCTAATACCATCGTAGTCAATTTTGTTGTCGATTTTTATGCGTTTCCTGAGACCGGTGATTAAATCTTGCGACGACACTGTCCTTCGAATGTACCCCGACATGTAAGTGCTTTATTTTGACTAATAAAAAAGCTCTGTTGATTGATAATTCTTTGTGTCTAAGATCAACCAGGTTAACTGGGATTGGTCTTGGCGACGCGTTCCTCAGAAGTCAATCAAGATAGTGTATGAGAAAAAGAACAGTATGCGTTTAACCATCTGTTTAGGGTTTATCTGCATTTACTTCTTTATTTGGGCAGTCCTAGTTTACAAGTAAACACCAACTCAAACGACAATCGAGATGATCGGTTGGTTGCAGGTGAGCTTTCCCATTCATTTGTGCTAAATTGTATAGTAACGACTTTTTAGTTCAAATAAAATGTTACCAATAGGTTATTTCCCGACTTTTATCATCCGCAAGAAACTCAACTAGTTTGAAGAAGCGACAACATTCCCTTCAAGGTATTTGCTTTAGGGATATAATTATAGGTAGTTTTTAACTTTATTTTCGGTTTCGGTGACTTGTATGCGTAAGATCTGTAAGAGTTTATCTCGTTTATGAAGACGAAATATCTTTTCTAACGAGACGCGTAAGCTTATTTCGATAACAGACCTCATCAATACTGTAGTGAACTTCAATATGTCAAACAGGACACTTAATTCGAATTGGCCTAGACTACTAAGAAGACACAAGCGGGGACGCGAATTGGAAGTACAGAGTACCAAATTGTGTCGCAGCTGTTATGGCAGGCTCAGACACAGCAAAATTTTTAATTGTACAATTAATGTATCGGTTATACAGCACACCTACTGTAACGACCGAATTACCAATATTCATTTTGAACGCAGAACTAACGAACCAAAGTAAATTAGGTCAAACTATTTTCTTCTGCGATGTGTATGAAGCGCTTTTGAGCGACTCGTATTTAATCGAATCAAAACCCAAACTCTGTGTTACGTTTAAACAGATGTAATTTAAGAAAGAGAATAAGTTATATAAAAAGCAACGAAGACATCAGACGGTACAGCCTGTGCTATAAAGTCAAGGGTTTGTTGAGCACAAACTAAGATGCTAATCAAGAAGAGGAATAGTTAATAAACAAGGATTCAATAACTGCGAATCCACAAAAATATCCCCAACATGATATGATCAGATGTGTATCTGCATAGATTTCAGTAACCTTTACAAGCAAAAAAAGTTTAACGGTCATACACTGATCTCGAGTTTAGTCAAATGCAACCATATTGTCAGTGGTCCGGAAACGTGAAACAGTAGGTTAAGTAATAAAACGTAAATCTTAAACCAAAATCAAGTAACAAAAGCCACAACAAGGGAGACAAAGAACATAAAGTGTGGACAAAGGCTCAAATACAAGACAGGGAGAAGAAACAAAGAAATGACAATACTGTCTAATAATATGCTGTGGAAGGGTAGTTAGCGTGTTTTTAATACACATACCGCCCATTGGCTTTTTGACAGTGTCAATAATGTTGTCTTTATTCATTTAGGACTCTGTGACATTTTAATCGCTCAACATTCTGATTTTAAATCTCTTGATCTCTGTGAAATTCACGGTTGTCTAAAGTCATTAATAATATATGAATCGTAAGAATTAAAACTGGGAATATCTATCTATAGTTCAGAATTCTCTATAGATGCAGGATTATTTAGAGAATAATCAGAATTATAATTGGAATCACCCACTTCATTAACCATCACTTCATTTTAATGTCCGCTGTGAACTGAATGCTGTTTCAAATGAAAAATCTTTTCTACTGGACTTACTGTTCCCTTAATTATAATATCCGTAAACAGTTGTAAGTCGTTACTTCTGGTGGTGTTTTATTCGCTAAATGAATTCGAAATACGTAAGAAGTAAGGTGTTTAGCTGGATTGTGGTGCGTTTTAGAGTGTTCTTCATTATGACGTATTTGCTTAACCTTTTCGTGGGCACAGTCTCTGGCTATTTAGAACATAGATCAATAATAACTGTATAACGTAACAAATTAAAAAATGATCATAGGAGTCGACATGAATACGTTCCCACGATTCATAAGGCGCAGGCCGACGGTAGTCTATGTGTGCACAAGGAAGAGTGTTTCGATTTTTGATGTATAAAGCAGCGAACGCAAGCCGTCAGCAAGCCTGATGAGCACTGAATTTCATGTTTTATGCACTTAGAGAGGCGTAGCAAAGTTTTTCTACCACAGCAAATCTCAGGGTTAAGGAATCACCATTTACAAGAAATATGATGCTTCATAGTGAGTGCCGAGATTCTTCAGAAATCCTGAATCATATGCCACTTCTGACAACCACAACAATAGTTAATATAGGCACATGGAGTTTCCGGACATTGTGAAAGGTCGGGACGACCAGTCAAACAGCTATAGAAATGAGAACATACAACTTGGTCGTGATCGGAATAAGAGAAACCCATTGGAACTGTAGTGGCATTGGACCATAACCACACAATCCTCAAAGCTGAATACGAGATTAATCGGAAAATAGATATTCAATATTTAACGCGGAGAAACACCTAACGATGAACAAGGCGCGAACAATGAATTGAATGGACTGGAGTTGATCGGATGGCATGGCTCGGCCATGCAGGCGTGGTCCATCTGAATGTTACCTTATATCTTCTATTCATATTAAAAATATTGTTCTTTCTCTAGCTTAAGCTTGTTCTCCATCATGTATTGGTAATTGATACGATACAGTGAGTTGGTTTAGTCGATGGTATGACTTCCACGTAAGATCTTATAGATTAGGCAGTTATATCATGACAAATCTACAATTTTAGGATTAGGTCTATTATTAGAGCAGTACTAATATCATGGTAGGCCATAATTCTACAGACCCAAGCTGAACAACAAAGGTTAGATTTGGGAGAGATGCTGTTGTACTCCAGTCATAGAGAAGAACATGCTCCACACACTGAGAAAAATGTTCGGATGTTGTCCAAAATATCCTGAATAGCACTCATAGGACGGGAATCTCATGGACCCAGAATCATCACAATGAATTTTATCCGATTTTCTGCACCCACTAGTGATAGCAATAACGACAATAAAGATCAGCTTTACTAGAGGTTGTATTCGGTTAAAGTGAAGCGTCCAGGAAACGATCTTCATGGTACACCTGAACGCCGAAATGGACAACACCGGGTATCAAGATATCATGGAATGAGATGGACCGGGAGAGAGAATCTAAAATGGAAAGAGAGATTTGCAAATCTATGTGCACTCAACAAAGTGGTTATAGGCGGTACAATATTTTCACATAAATGAATACACAAAGCTACATGCATCTTACTGGACGACACCACAGAGTGCCAGATCGATCATATTTACATCACTAAAATATTCATAAGGTCAATGGAAGACTTAGGAACCAGAAAAGGAGCTAGTATGACTTCAGGTCACCCCCTGGTTGTGGCCAGGCCGAAAGTGTGGCTAAAGAAGCACTGGACAACTGGATAAACAGAATTACAAAGGTTGATTACTCATACAGTTCAATCAAAAATGGACTTTTCTTACCATCATATCAACAATAACGGCCTATAAAGCTGCAAGAGAAGGAAGCGTGAAACAACTTTATGATACAACGAAGGCAACGACAAGGAAATATTTTAAAGCTGGATGATCAGTCAAGAACAAAGGAAGCAACTCAATTTCTGCGATTCAAGAATACGAAACAGGTGTGCAGGACGACTTATAGAACTCTTGAAT